GATATCTTTTTTACTTTTTATTTTACTCATTTTCGATTGGTTCATATGAATCATCCAATGAAATAAAACTGGAACATATAAATAAGATACAATATTCTTTTAAGGCTTATTTTCTTTTTTACTATTATAAGTCAAATATACTTGGCTTTTCTTTTTAGTTTTACGGATGAACGAATCAAATTTCATTTGGAAAATAGAAAAAGAAAAGGATCATGTAATAATAAGAAAATAAAAAAAAAAAAAGAGAAATTCAATAATACAAATTAATGGATGGTGTCTCTTCAAGTTTGAATGACGTCTATGCAACAAAAATAAAAATAAAGAAAAAAAAAATGTTATTATAAGAAGAAAAAAAGTTTTCAGTAAAGTGAATCATCAAGGACAATATAATAGTTTATCAGTATTTGTAATTTGCAAAGACAAAAAAGAAAAATTCAAATGCGCGATTCCTAAGTCAAGAAACTGAGAGAAAAACAACAAATTTTTTTTACCTTGCAACACGAAACTTGCAGATAATCGTCTATACTTATTTTGTTATGAAAGATGCATGCGACTATAGGCGACACTATTACATGTTTGTTTTTTTTATCTATAAAATTTATGTCACTTAGTAGAAGTGATAATAATCTTGAGATTTTTTTTTTTGTCTTAAACTCATACTCGATGAATATTTATTATTTCTAAAAATACTCAAAGAGAAATTTAAAAGAAGAATTTTGAAAAAAAATCATTGTTCAACGATTATAAAATTAATAAACTTATTTTCTTTTTATTATTCTATAGAATAAAATGCGCACATATATATATATTCGTTTTCATAAATAAATGTTTTTGTTTAATAAAAGATTTCATCAAATAAATTTCAATTATTGCTAAAAAAAAATATAAATTATAGAAACAATTATGAATAGACATTCTACGTAGAATAATTTAACAAACAAATTTTATATTAAAAAATTATTATAAAAAAGTTTCTTACCAATTACAAAAGCACCCGTTTTTTTTATAGATAAAGCTTGAATGACTTGTGTATTTCAATATTTGAACAAATATTAATGATAATCATTAAGAATTTGATAAATTAAGAAAGTAAATTCATTTAAAATGATGTTTACTACTAAACAATAATCATTAGTAAAATTTTCTGAATGATTTTCTATTTGTTAAAAATATGTAACAATTTGATTCCATTTTTAGAAACAAAAATCAAAGAACTCAATTTTTATCAGACTTATACTACCAAGTATTATATATAAGACGGTTAATCCGCTCTTCGCCGAAAGGCATATCACCGAAATTCCGTAGTTTGCATTTCGACGATGTGACTATCAGTAATAATTGTTTTCGGCGATCTTCATCTTGATAATTGAAGCTAACAGCCATATTCTCAGATGATACTTATAGTATATATATATATATATATGTATATAATAAATATTCCAAAAGAATAAACGTAATGAATGGTGGTCAAAATAGAACTTACGAATAAACATCATCGAAAGGCATCTGGCACTGAAGTACACAACCCATAAACTATTACATTTGCGTCAGAAAATTAATATGTCATATAAGATTGCACGAATAATATTTTTGTCATTCAAAGTCATTATATAACTACGAAGAAAACATAATATTTTTTTTTTTGAATAGTAAATTAAAAACAACCTTATAAAACTATTGTATTAAGAATAAGAATCGTTTGATTGGAATTTAATCTGATAAATATATTTCTTTCATTGATTAAAAAGATTGTAGAAACTATTAAAACAAAAAAAACAACATTATTATTCATAAATAGTGTCATGTTTATAGCCTTGAGATACTTGTCAAAACACGTTTTTCTTCTCTTTTATTCAAATAAATGCTGTGTAATATTGCTTTCTTATTAGATATTTTTTTATTGATGATTGATAATTCGGTCGAAAGACAAGAACGATTAAAAATACAAAAAAACAAGAAGTCAATAAATCGTCATGGTTAGTTAGCATGTAATGGATTTATGGATCAAGGACAATAAACGTCGATTATTATTGAAAAACAAAAATAAAAATTCGTTTTATTATTGCTACTATTGGTTACTTTTAGTACATAATAGAAAAACAAATTGTTCGTTTTTCTTTTTACCTTTTCTTTAAGAATTGGATTAGATTGTTTAAAATTTTTCTTTTCAAAATACAAAGAATGTTTGTATTTAACCATATATATTTAATATATCCATATATTAATCAAACCATAAAACAGAATATATTATATCAGCATAAATTGACTATATGTCACATATGTTACACTGTCACAGAAAGTTGTGTCATCTCTCAGTCTATATAATCGATGAATATCTAAGAACTAACCTAGTTCTCTCATATTAATGGAAAATAATAATACGATGTAAATCGATTATATATTTATAAGTATTATTCTTAGTTAATTTAGCGAAAAGAAAAAATAATAAGTATAAAACAGAAATATTTCAACGTTAATTGTTTGTTAAAATTTTTATGTAAGAAAAGCCTGATAATCTATGATTAATAAATGATGATTGGAAAGATTTTACACAAGATATTTGTTTAGTTTTGATTCACTAAGAAGGTATTTTCGAATAAGTTAGGACGAGAATTTTGTGTACTTAGATATTTTATCTCAATTTTTCTTCGAGAGTAGCGAAATAATCTTTGAAAAGTCAAAACAAAAAATTTGTATGAATGGAAGTGATGGGTTAACGTTTCCGGTGAACATGTTTGTGCATTTTGACCTCTTTGAAAACATTTTAGATGCATCAAAAATTATAGATCACGACCAGAATTAAATATGGGCTTAAAAGTATTCTGCTTATTTTTGTTTGAGAATAGTGCGCCGGCTTCGTAGCACTACTTGGACGGAAATATAGGAATTGAAAAGTACCATTTAATTAGGATTCTCTTCAACTATGTAGGACACTAATTTTCACTACGAAAAGTCTTTAGAGTCTTGGAAAATGCTGCAACAATAGTGCAAATCACTGACGGCTTCTTTGTATATATATATCGGATGAACTAAATGAAAAAAATATCTTTGAATTGTGGAAAACAGTGAAATACGAATTTTTTTCTAATAAAAGAAACAAAAACAAGATTAATTCATGTTCGATTTATTTGAAATGGTTCTACACATTTGTTACACTTCTAGTCCGGAAGGTTCGAGCATGGGTTGTCTCTGGCGTGCAACTATTTAGTTTTGGATGTGTATGTGCATGAGAGCGAGGTTCCTATTTCATCCACGCTCTGAGATGATACTTGTTCATAAACTTTATGAAATAAAGAAATATTGTCGTTGCTGTAATTTTTTGTCGGTAGTTATCTTTTTCTCTTCATCAATAAAAAAAAACTTTAATTTTGACCACAACATATATATGTATATATCGTCGTTACTGTCTGTCTATAGTGTTATAGACACTAATAACAATATTCACACTATGTGTAAGGCACTTTTTTAAGGGATATGTGGCTTTCTTTTCGAAAGAATCTTTAATTTTTCAAAAAATATGGGAATATAGGAAAAGGCTTGAAATACAGTCCATTATAAGATCAATTTAAAACATATAGGATCATTATGAAGTCAGATAGTGAGAAGATTTTTGAAACACTTGAAAAATTATATTTAATGATGAGTCAACAGATTTTTGTTTATACGATAAGTTCAATGACAAACATGCTAAAAATTGTCGAAGCCCATCGTTTTGTAGAACGGGACATTTTTTTTTACAAAATGTGGTATTGAACTAACAAGGGACCTACTCAAACTGATACCCGTCATTTGAACTTATATTGAGTTCATAAGAAAATCTCGGTAAGGCTAGAAAAATCCTAACAGAGTTTGAATTGTTTTACTAAATTTCCGATGCAACTTTATGTCTTTGATGAAAAATCAAATAACGAAATTCCGACCTAGAATTTTGTCTATAGAAAGATCTGATGACTCTGAGAGTATCCTGAAAGTTTCAGCCGAAAAGAGCACTCCTTTTGTTGAGATATTGAATTTCCAAAAAAAAATGGCTGTTTGCCACAAAAACCGAGTTCACTTGAAAATTCAATATTTCGACAGAGGAATATTCTTTTCGGCTGAAATTTTCAGGATACTCCCAGAGTCATCAGACTTTTCTACGGATAAAATTCCAAGTCCGAATTCCATTATATAGTTTTTCGGTAAATACCTAAAGTCGGATCGAAAATTCAGTAAAGCAGTTACAACTCGACTTCAGAAACTCAAAAAGTACGAACTCTTTTAGGATCTTTCTCGTCTTACGGAAACCTCATTGACAACCTAATATGAGTTCGAATGATGGGTATCAGTTCGATTAGTTCCCTCGTAAGCTGTAGGTTTTACTTCAATAAGGCTACAAAGATTTTTTCGAGAGCTCCTTTCAACGTAAAACAGTGGTCGGCTTTTCAAGACAAACAAAACTTAAAATAGTGCATTTCTCGAGTAGTTTCTGATCTATAAGCTGATATATAAATAAACATCTCAACTCTTAGTTTCAAATCGCAATAGTGAAAATACAAAAATTTTTCGTCCGAACTAATTTTTTAGGTTTTTCAATGATTATTTTACTATTCTTGAACAAGACTTGAGACAAGATTCTAATCTTAACTCATCCAAAATACTTTCTAGCAGGTCGAAAGTGACCAAACATCTCTTTTTTTAAAAAATTTCCGATCATCCATCAAATATCACATTCAGTTAAAATATAAACGGATTTTTGAAAAATTTTATTGAATTGAGATGTAAAATAAAAGAAAAAGAATTAGATATTTAAAAAGAAAAACAAATGCTTTATTTTTCGATATAATAGTCAAGTAAAAAAGAAATATTATTGATGATCATTTATATTGGAATAGATTTTCTAAAATTTAAAAATAAGATTTTTTAATATTTTGTCTTTGCCATGAGAATATTTTGTTTAAGGTTTATGGATTAGTGAAATTCATTTTTTTCGATACATTGATGTATTTACATTCAAGTTAGAATTAGGTTTTTTTGTATCTCGATGTTTTGATTTTGTTTGTTGAATTATTTGTATTAATAGTATACAATACATGATCATCACCATCATCATCATCAGACGATGCACTTCCTTTACATTGAGGAACATTTGGCATAAGAGATATTGTTTTACCATGAGTAGTTAAATTTGATTTTGTTAATGATGTTGTTAATTCAATGTTAGATTGTAATCGATTATCTGATAGAACAGAATTAAATTCTTTTTTTTTTTTTGTATGATAATGAATATTGATGCTTACTAAGTTTATCTAGATCAGTTTTATTGATCATTGAATATTGATTAGATGATTGAAGAATATTTTTATTTGATTTTTCATCTAGATAAATTTTTATGGTTGAATATTAAAAAATATTTTTATTTACTCGGAAGAGTGAATTTTGAATTTTTTTCTTTTGTTAGTTGAGCAGAAGCTACAGAACTTGATGAATTGGTTTCACTTGATTCAGATAATGAATCATATTTGGAATCAATGTTTAATGTTAATTGTTGTTTATCTTTGTTTATATCTAAAGGTAAATAAGAATTTTTTTTTATTTATCGAAAATGAATATTTTCTTTAAAAGTACATCTTTTCCGTTTCTAAATGTTAGAATCAAAATTTTTTAGATTTTTAGCTTCGAAGTGGACTTACTGCGACTGAGAAAGTGAGGCGATTATTAGCCGTTGTGATCCAAATATATCCTAGATGGAAGTATTTGGAGTCTATGATAACTTTTGCTCTTATTATTCGAGATCTATCCTATTCTGAAAGTTTCAAATATTTCTGATGAGCTATTCTTCAGAAACTCCGCAAAAGGATCCTCTTAAGCGTCTCCTCGTTCCAGGGTTTCTCAAGAACGGCTCGACTAAAATTTCTGAAACTCTGAGGATAAATAGATTTCGACTAATAGAGCAAAATTTGTTATAGACTCAGAATTTCCAGATGTTTTCTTGTATGAGATATAAGAGACAATAGAGCCAATAATGACCTGACCCGCAAACAGTCATAATTTGTTTTCTATGGTTGAATTTTTTTTGTAACAATTAGAACCAAATTGGAGTGTATATTATTTTAGTCTTTCGCTTAGGAAAACCAAAGTACTGAAAGTCCTGTCAAAAAACAACGTGTGTTTTTTACCTAGGGGAAATTTTGTAAGATCTGTTGAAAATCACCAGAATATTATTTTAAGAAGAAAAAAAATGCACATATGTCTCAATTTGATCCTAGTTGTCATACAAAAAAATTTCGGCTCAATCAGTCGACACATGTGGGAGAAAACTTCAAATTTTCTGTTGAAAAAAATTGATTTTAAGAAAAACACGAAACAATGTACAGCTCTTGGTATTTAGTTTTTTTTTTAAAATGGTTATAAAAAACAAAAATTTTGGATTACGAAACAGAGAATATCCTTTAAGTGAATGTTATCTTTATAGATTAGAATTTAATGATATACTTCCAAATTTTGTTTGATCATTTTGAGTTTCTAGTTTTTGTTTTTTTCTTCGTTTTGTTCCACTTGGAAACATTGATATAAGTGGACTTTTACCAATGCCATGTAATTCAGGAGAAACTAGTTGATTTATAGAAGCATTATGTTTGATAATTGAAATGAGAAAATAAAAAGAATTGATATTCACCTGGTGTATTCAGATCAATATTTTTAACAGAAGATAATGAAGAAATGAATTGTTTATTTCCTTGTTCTACTTTTGATGGTGTAATATGATCAGTACGATCAATATGAGTTAAATCTTAATGAAATATTATCTCAATGATTTGATATTCTATTTAAAGATAAAAGATATTAATCACCTAATTTTTCATTCAGTGTTTTTTTAAAGTCATTTGTTTGTGATTTGTTGTTCATTGGATTTTCTTTTTTATTTAGATTAACGTCTAATTTTGATTTGCTTACATCTAAATCAGATTCATCATTCAATCGACTACAGTTCTGCATGATTACACATGTTACCTTTAGTAGTAGATGATATTATTGCCGTTTGTTTTTGCTCACTTGATACTATATTTGGCGTCATATTTCTTAATGTCACATTCTTAACTATTGATTTTTCAGTACTATCTAGATTATCATCTGTTTCTCGTTTTTCCGAATCATATTTTTTTTTCATAAAATAAACTAGAGCAGCAAGAGCTAAAATTGCAAGTAAACCTAACAATGGACCAATGATCAACCAAGGTGAAAAGCCATTTTGACTAGCAGTAAGTGGTGCAATTACTACAGCATTGTTATCTGTCACATGTGGAACTATAATATTAGCAGTTTGTAGTCGAATATTTCCTGGCATCGGTCGATTTTGAGGTCGATAAATTGCATCAGGATGAGCTGGAATAGGCTCATTTAAAGGACCACTAGAAAGAATGAAAAAAAGTGTATTCGACAATAAATAAAAAATTTTTTGTTTGTTTTGTATATACAAACTTATTTCGTTTTAATCGATATCGTATAGACATGAATTAGATTTTTTAACATACATTGACGTTCAAAATAGATTAACATAAAGTATTTTCGAATAAAATAAATCTTTGTATATTCATATATTTCATTTTGAATAAATGAAATGAACAATAAGTAAAATGAAACCGATACTAAATTATATAATTAGATTATAAACATGCATGTATTTCAACAGATTTATATTTTTTTTTTGTTACAAATTATTAAGAAAGAAAATTCGAATATTCAAGTTAGAGTTTATAGTAAACTTACAAAGGCGCCAATGATATCAAATAGAATGAAATCAAGAAATGTCGTTTTGCAGATTTTCTAGGTAGAAAAGAATATATAACAGTCAAAAAGTGTTTTCTTATCATTGTCTTATTGATATTCTATCATCCCTCGTTGGAAAAATGTGTTTCTTTTGATCTCAGTAGTAGTTCTCAACATATGAATACATTTTATGATTTCAGTTCAGCATTGTTAGCAGATTAGTTTTCTACTCATATTCATATATATTTTTGGATATTTAATATTTCTTGATTACTTTTTCATATTTTTCTCTTCGAGTATTTACTTGAATAAACATATTGATTAGTTTGAATTTTATAGTAGTTACAATTGAAAGAATTGAACTTTCTTCATTAAAGGGACCTCCCCCCTCTTTCCGAGGTTTCTCGAGAACGGCTGGATGAAACTTTCAGAGTAGATAGATCTCGATGACTAGAGTAAAAGTTGTCATAGACTCAGAATTCGAAAATGCTTCCTTCCTAGAGATATGTGCAACACAGGGGCGAAAAATGACCTGAAGTTTTCCCCCTCCACAAACTCCTATATTTCATTGTTTAGGGCTGACATTTTTTTCTACAGAAACTAGGAACAAATTGGGGTGTGTGTTTTTTTTCTTTGGAAAATATCGTTCCTGAGGGTCAGGAGAGAGAAAATTACTGACGACACTATCAAAAAATGCGTTTTTTTCTTATAGTGCCAATTTTGTGGTTCCTGGTAAAATTCCTTAGGAACAATATTTTCGAGAGAAAAAAAAAGGCATACCCCAATTTGTTCAAAGTATTTACAGTAAAAATTTGAGCCTGATTGGTTGGAGTGCGAGGGGAGAAAAGGGGGGAAAACTTCATTTTTTTCCTGAAAAAAGTAATTTTGAGAAAAACGCAAAGAAATTTGTGTCTTTTGGTTTTTTCAGCATATTTTAATATTTTTTCGAGTTTTTTTATATATAAGATGTGAGTTTTCAGTTCTCAAAGTGTGCTCAATGGATAGAGGACATTTAAATCTAGATACTAATCACAAAAAATGTGAAAATTTTGAGTCGGGAAAAGAGGGGGGGTCCCCTTAAATTTTTTTGTTGTATTAACCAACCAATGCTAAAAGTGGTTTCTTTTTCTAGACAGTCTGAGGACTTTTATGTCGTTTGTCACAGAGATCTCAATGGATTTGGCTGAAATTTTTTGAATAGGAAATCATGGACTGTACTGAGTTGATTCAGTATTGCGATAGGCACCCATAGACCGAATCTTGAATAAAATTTTCAAAAGATGTTACATATTTCTACTAAATTTTCTTTTTTACGGAAATGCCATATAATTCTTCTATGGGCTAAAACATTTCTGCACCGAATAGTAAATCCATAAAGAAAAAGATAAACTTGTTATCACCTTAAAAAACTTTCTTTATGTTGAAAAAAAAATGTCTTTGCGTAGTTCATCATCAATTCTTCAACTACCGGTGTTGATCTATCATCACATGGAAAACAGTATACATCCGAATGGATCAAATTTCTTTTGAAATAACAACTATTGACATATGCTGTTATTAAAAATGACAAAAGCAAATACATCTTTATGTTAGAAAATTTTTGCTTTTCCAACTAAAAAATAATGGTAAACCCGAGAGAACTGAAGGTTTTATAAATTGTTAAAAATGTTATCGAACATTTGTTTATACAATAACTATTGATAGTCAAAAGATGATTTCTCATTCATGAGTTTAAAATTTATCTAATGCAATTAGATGAATAACCCATGAGTTAGATCTACTTTCTTCAGTCTAGCCCATTGAGACCTCTATTATATCAATTAACAATTATCACTTTACTTTGAAAAAGAGAGTTTATAGGTAAACAACACATCACCGAACTGAGTAATGATGACTGTTAATGAATCATATTGCAGTTTTATCAAACAGTCTTAATCATATCTACTGATAATAAAACATTTTTGATATAATAAGAATATTATTTATCTAAATTTTTTCTAAATAGTTTTGTTTTTGATTGTTTTTTTCAAAACTATTGATTATACAGCTGCCTTTCATGTAATTACAATGATAAATTTATAAAGAAAAAAAAAGTCAATGAATGATCATGAAATAATTCATCATTAAAATTATGTTTTACAATGTGAATAATTTATTTCAAAAGTTCTGTTATTTTAAAATGTTTAATTATCTGTTTCAATCATTTGATATATATATATATATATATGTGAGTGAACTTAATACAAATATGTAAAAGAAGAAAAAAAAATGAAATAAACGATCGATAAGGTAGAATTTATCAAAAATAAGTATTTAATAGAAAAACAAAACAAACAAAAAAATCAGATATCATCACAATCCTCTTTTTTTTTTTGCTTTTGGAAAAAAAAATCTGTCACAATACATGTTATTCTGAGATAATAAAAATAAAGCCATTTGAATCGATTATTTTCCAACGAGTTTTAATCAATAGCATTCTGTTTAGATGTACATCCAAAAAATCGCTTCAGTCTGAAATATATATAAAAACACACAATCAATTAATGAAAAAGAACAAACAACTTTCAATGATGAAACGATAAAAACAAAAATTTTGAATCGATCTTTCAATCAGAAAAGAAAACATAAAATTAATAATGCAACGCTGGTAACTATTCAGCTCAGATTTTCGCCGTTAGAAAGAGTGGAAGGACAAATCTACCTGAGATTCCCAAGTAGACTTGTACCTCTACTCATGCTCTTTCTAACGGCGAAAATGCACAATTACCTAATCTCATTAAGAACTAATCAAATAATAGAAAAGAATATTGTTGTGATATTTACCCAGATTGTTTTTTCGGTTTCACTGTGGGACGGTCAGGATGATTGTTTATCACTTTGAGTTTCTGATAATAAAAAAAAAACAATAATTCAAAGATTAAAACTCGATTGATTTCCTTACATTAGTTCCATGTTGAATCTGATGCTGATATCTACGATCATTGTGAGATGATGGACGATAATTAACAGCATTATTATTTGGATTTTGATCATCATGCATATTTCGTAAGCTATCAGATGATTTTGCACGTTGTGATATACCATCTATTCAAAAAATGAATAAGATAACTATAATAAATAATGTTTTAATTACTTGATAATCCTTCTCTCGATGGTTGTGATATATTTTCATGTGAATGATATTCATTTGATCTCATCGATTGATTATCATTATTAAGACCACGATGAGAAGAATTTTTTGATTGTAATAAATTTTCATCACTTCCTGTGTTTCGTATATAATTTTGATTTTTATTATTATTATTTATAGATCTATCATTATCAACTGGTCTATTTGCTATATGTGTACGATCAATATCAATACGTTGATATTGAGCAAAACGATTGTTATTTGGAGATCGAATATCTAAAGAAAATTGTATTAAAATATATGCATTTATAAGACTCACTAGATGATATTGGATGGTTTCGATTATTTTGTCGTCTGGTTGGTAGGAAAACAGGTGGTGAAGGTCGTTGTTGAGCAAGAAGACGTGCTGATTCTGTATTTGCTGGATTTTTCACACAATTTTTCTAGGAAATTAAAATGAATGATTTAATTACAAATTGAAAATTTGATTATTTAATAATTACTTCATGTAAATGAAGTTGTTTAGCTAAAACTAATTGTTGACAATATTCACATGGAAGTTGTTCAGTAACAGGTTGTTGACTCATTGTTCTAGATATATCTTTGAAAATTTCTACTTATCAAACGACATCGAACTTACTCTGCACGTCTTTCTAATCGTTGCTTTTCTCTCTCACGACAACTTTGCTATATTAAATAAATTTATAAAATAATATAATCGATATAAAATAAACAATATGAATTTACAGTATGACTTGACCAATTAGGTAAATCAATTAATTGTTGACAAATTTCACATGGAATATGAACAATACCATGTGAAGCGCTTTGATTTTGATTTGACCTTGATGGTATTACAGGTGGTTGTTTTCGATTCATATTTGCTGGATTTTCAAGACACATGTCCTACAATAATATAATCAGATATTGATTTAAAGTACTGGAAAAAACCAACAAAATTTCAAAGTTTTTTTTTGTTTTGTTTTAAAGCATACCCTATGAGTTTTATAATCACTTCGTACACATCGATTATGACAATATTCACATTCGATTGTCATTGGTACATTAACTTTAAAATAAAATAAAATAATTAAAAATTTTTCTATTAATAATAGAAATATTTACTTTGATTTGATGTTATCAATGGAGATCTCCTATTGCCGCCTCTTGGAGAATTTTGATCAGAATAATTTTCAGGATAGTCATTACTAGGAATATCAACTCTTGATATAGGCTTGTTAGAATTAGTAGGAGCATATTGTTGTGCTAATCGAGTTTTCGGTCGAGTTGGTGGAGTTTCAATTTCATCAATTGATGCACAATTATTTTCATAATGATAAGTAAAATGAGAACGTCGTATAAATTGACGACAACGTGGACATTGATCAGTTTTATTTCCACATGCAAGTAAATGATCACGTATAACAGTTGATGAAAACATTTCTTGACAAAATGAACATTGAATTGATCGATTTCTGCAATTAGTTTGCTTTAAAAAAAGAAAGAACACAATGAAACAATACAAAAAAAAAACCAAAAATCACTCCTCATAATATACATGATGTCGTTTGAGAGCTTCTTCACTCATATATTCTTGTCCACAATCACACATATACGTTGATCCTGATTGATCATTATTCAATGCTCGCAAACGATCATAACTATTACGTCTAAATTTTAAAAAAATAATAACTTTTTTCTTGTGTAAATGATAATAATAATAATCAAACAAACCTTACGATTTCAGGACCTGCCATATGTAAAGTTATTTCAAATCTAAAGAAGAAAAAAAATGATCAAATAAAATTGATAAGATTTTTTTTCTTCTTCATTGAACAAGTGTTAAGTTTTAGTTGCCCTTTAACATATGATATAATGACAAATGTATTTTATTATTATCTGACCTATAACTGAAAGGTAATTTTATTTGAAACGAGCAAAAAAGAAATATCGTTAGATTAAAAGACAATATTTTTTCCAATAAAAATTATTCATTTTAGTATTTATATGTTGAAATATGTTCAATGTAAAATAATAAATTCAGAATATGAAAAAGAAAAATATATATATATAAGAGAACGGAAGAAAATAAATATAGTTTGAAGTGTCCTATCAGAAAAAAAAATTTAATGAATAAGCAATGGAATAATAAAATCCAACCGTAAGAATTTTACTAAGCAAATTTGTATTGAGAGAGGTCACTGACAGTCGAACACCTTTTATACACATTCGTATAAGCAATAAAGTATTCAAAAAAAAAATGTGATCAAATAGAAATTTGATGTCTTTGACAAAAGAAATGATAGAATACATTGAGGTGTTAAATTAATAAAGAAAAAAAAAAACTAAAATATATTTTGATATAAACAAAAGTAGAATAGGACGAGAAAACATATTTCGGTCATCATATTCGAATGAATAGTCAAAATTAGAGCTATTCCGAGCATAGAGTCCATCGGATCCAATCGAACCGTACTTTTATGCTCTTAATCATATTTTCTAATCGAAATCGAATAGTCGTCCCGAAGACACGAGATACTCTTGTATTCCATGACTAGGGTATCCTAATCATTTCTTAGACGACTAGAGCTCATCAAGTTCAAAATTTTCATACCCGGTCCCATCAGAGACTAACGCAAACCGAAAAAAGGGTGGAGAGATGAACTCCTTCTAATCTTGGAAAATTTTCAATTTTTTTTTCTCACTTATCTTCATAACACGGCTCAACCCTTCCTCAATCTTGATGACCTTGAGATATCCCTGGTAACAAATTGATTTATATTTATTCAATAATGAAATCATAAGTCGAATGAAATATGTCATCTTAATTGAATGTAAATATATTTTAATATCATATTTAGTTGTATATGTAACGGTCCATGTGGTTATGCTTCTCAAACTGTGATCGTTACGTTATATTAATATTCTTTGTGCATATTAGAGTGAACACTTGATTGTTATCGTCTCTTATATAATAATATGTACGATAAATGATAAAAGACCGTTATAAGCACACAGATGACATAAAACGCCACTGTATTGAAAATTATTCGTGAATATTTTTATAATTTTGAGGTAGTTTATCAATAAATTGCTTTAATAATTTTGTAATAAAGAAAAAATTTTTCAACTAAATTTAGTTTTATAAATCTATCAACTGTATATCTATTTGTGCGTAAATAATCAATGTCTTTCACTTAAATTTTTCAAATAGAAATTTTCATTTGAATATTTTAAATAGCATAAAATATATTATAAAATGTAAATGACATATATGATTAAATCAGTTCTATGTTTTCTCTTTGCATATGCGACGTCGACATTCATCTTATAAATTAAGTTTTCTCAGGATTTGAAGGACAGAGAAGAAATTTAATTTAACTTATTGAATTTTAATGTTTTGAAGCTATGATAACATTCATATCTTTACTTCTTTTAATCGTTGCATCTTCTTTTGTCATTTTAATGAGAGTAAACGAACTAAAAACAGCAAGAAGGAAAAAAATGGATTAAAGAAATACAAAGAATTGTAAATCTAAATGAAACACGATAAATTTAATTTCTCATGAATCTAAAGTTGATTTGAACGAAAATATTGTTTAAGCATGAAAATTGGGATGAATGTATAAGAACATAGCTCGAGAGCTAATCTTTGATAAATAACAGAATTTTTTAATTTGGTACTTCGTTTTATTCGAAAATTTCCGTTATTTTCTAAAGAAAAAATGTTTTTTTTAGATAAAGTGAAGAATCTTCTTCGCTTTTTTCTTTGTTAATGTTTTGTAATCGAGTATTTCAGAATATTCAGAGAAGCTTCATTATAGTCAATAGTTTCCTTTTTCTTGTTTGAAAGAACATGTCAAATTGCAGAATATGTAAGAATCCCTTTTTTTGAATAAAACTTTGTTATAATTAGAGTATCATTTTTTGACACATTGAACTTTTTTCTCCTTAAAAAGTAAGAATTTAAAAAAAGAACTCGATCATACCTTAGATCCTGACATGCTCTTTCAAACAAAAATAATCATTGTCTATAATGAAGCTCCTTCAAAAATTTTGGGATGCACGATCAAAAAAGCATAGAAAAAAGAAAAAAACGAAAAAGATTTTCTACTTTTTCTGAAAACAGCATATTTTTGATGACAATAATCATCTAAAGTTTTTGGAAAAAATGAGATGCCAAAATCATATCATTTATGAAAGATTAGACCTCCGGCTTGCTCCCCATATATTTATCTTAATTTCGATAATCCTAAGGAAAATTGACTTTTCTGTGAGGAAGAAGAAACTTAATCGAAGAATACAATCCAAAGCGAAACGATGAGCACTCATAATTAAGCACACAAAAAGTTAAAGATAAATATGACGTTTATTGAAAGGTCAGTGAGTGTGGACTTTAGTCTTTTCTTCATTTCCGTCCGAGTATTAGTAAAAGACGCTCTGAGCCAAAAGTTCAAACAAATAAATGTTCGGAACATCACATCAGATGAAGTTGTGGTAAACATCTAATAGTTCTGGTCAGTTCAAAATATGTAAGCAGAGCTACATTTGACTTCGTTTTCCAAATATTTATTTTATTGAGCCTTTTTTACTCAGAGTTAGTCACTCTAAAAAGTTTTTTCTTTACACTTTTTTTAGAATGGCTCAGAGTCAGATTCGATAGACTCAAAAACTCCAGGCTCTATTGACTAATATATCTCACCAGTAAAAAAACGATGCTTAGAGCGTATTTTATCAATACCCTTTCCCATAGATAGAATCGGTCTAAAAATCGTACCGGACCTGACCGATCAGTTGCTGGTACCCAATTCTATCAATGCCCTTCCCATCCGCACACTCTTTAGCATCACAATTTTTTTTTTTGTATGCTAAACTTTTCTCGCACGTATAATTTCCGTGCTCATCATTCACCATTCCATGTAGAAGAAATTTGTTTATCATTATTTCAGAAATTTGCCATGAATTTTTTTTTTCTCAAATATTGATTATTCATTTTACTTAATAATATAAATTAATATTCGAATGAGATATTCGCAAGCCGCTGATATGCTTTATTACAAAAATTTTTGAAGTATTACAATAAACATTGACATTATAAGAAAAGAAAACAGAACAAAGAAAATTTTTCCTCGTTTTATAAAACAACAAATAAACACACATAGAGTATTTTGTTTTATTATTATTATTATTATTAAACAATGATATGACAATGTGAGTTCAATAAACAACAACGAGTATTAAGAAAAAAAAAGAAAACATGTGAAGAGAAAACAGACTAATTTCTATGAATGAGAAACAAAAAGAAAAAGAAAAAGAGAAAAAAAAAAAGAAAATTGAGAATTTCATTCAATCGCATTTTCAAGATGTGAAAGTATTGATAAATTATCAACATCATCATCATCATCTGGTGGTAATGAAGGTTTACTATACAAAAAAATAAATTTATTTTCTGTATTATCATCAAGACAAAAATTTTTTTCCATTGGTCTAATATCAATATCATCATCAGAATAATCAATTAAATTAATATCATCAATATTAGTTGTTAAATTTTTTTCATTTAATAAATAAATTAAATGTCGATATTCTTCAATTTGTTCATTTGATCGATTTAATTCATTACGTAGTCTAAATAAAATATATTTATTCATTAAAAAAATAACAAAAAAATTAAGAAGACATGCTTAACAACAATCAATAACATGCAACTACATTCAAATAGATACAAAAAATTATAAAACAAAGAACCATGCTTTGAAATATATGTATATATATATATAGATAGATAGATATGTATATCTAAATAACCCACCTGATTTGTTAAACAACTGTCTCATGCGAGCAGAGCCTGAGAGAGAATAAAATCATGCAAAATTACTATTGATATAGTTAAAGATTAGAAAAAAAAAAAGAAAGAAAATTTCTTTCCAATTTTATTTAGTTATTCTAAATGATTTTGTTTTACACTAACCGTTCAGCTTGTTTTTCACATTCAATTCGACGACATTTTTCTTCTTGATATAAATTTAACATTGGTGAACGTTGAGCAAGAACAATATCCTTAAACAAAGAAAACAAAAAAATTCATTTTATTAAAAAATCATGCTTTTTTTTTAGATCCTTTCAAATGTACGAAGAACATTCAAAAAAAGAAAAAGTTTCGAAACTAATTTTATTTAGAAACAACAAACAGCATTGCTACATTGGTTTTATTGTCTGTGAGTAGTTTATATAGTCGTCAATGAATTCTGATTAATTAATCATCATTCAGTGATAAAGTTTCTGTTACTATTCATGGATGTATAATGGTTGTTTATAACAAAGGTAGACTTAGGTACCTCCTTTCAATATGATAGTAGAATACTGAAAACGAAGTAATATATAAACATTTTTTTTGTTTCAAATTAGTTGCTCAGAGTAAAAGTTATCGAAAACATCTAGTCAAAATCTCTATTGTACGAACAAGTTATAATTCGCTCATATGCTGAGTTTTATAAGTAACTGTGTTCAAGAACTTTGATTCTTTTTTGTTTTCAAAAGATGCACTATTGAATGTTCTACTTGGATTACAAGAGCAAATCTTTATAGTTATTTTACTAGAGTGTTAACATTAAATAAATATATCATCGTGTTATTTCCTACAAGAAAAAATAAGAGAAAGTTGAAAAACTGTTGAATTTTGGTTTTCATAATTATTGTTTATTTATTTTGGCTATAATGGCTCGAACCAATCAGAAATTTAGTGCAGCATCTAAAGCATGAGAATTACTACTCATCCTCATTTCGAATACAAGTGAAAAATAACGTCTGTGTCAATTCATCTCTAAATGCATCGTTCTGAAATAAAACGTTTGGTTTTGTTGTATTATTCTCAAAGTAGAAAGTTCGATGTACAAATCGTTAGAAGGATTAAGCTTAACTTGTCGAGCTGCCACTTATTATGCCTTATTCAATGTAGTCATTGCCGCAAGCTATGCTGCTTTGAACATTTCTTTGAAGTCTATCACTATCATAATTAGATGTCTGTTGTCTTTCAATGTGACGCTATAATTTTTTTAAAAGTGATATCTATAAAGTTTTATTTTTTTTTCGGTCTGAGATTTTCAAGAAAATTGATATGGCTTATAGAAATGAGATAAAATCTAGAAATTTCACAGTAATGATGCAGCCAGTTTATCATGGAATTTCTAGTTAACATCACATTTTTGTTTTCAAGACAATCACAATAGAAAATCAAAATCCTTTTTATCTGTTGGAACTTGAAAATTCAATATCTCAACTCATAAGAATCGTGGATCCGAATCCTGTTAGGATTATTCTAGTCTAGAGGTTTCCTCTATTTGGTCGAAGTATGGACTCAAAAGTGGTTAATCACTTCAGATACTTCTCTTGTCAGAGATAGAATCAGTCTAAATTTTTCACAATCGACATCTAGAGCTCAATGGGTTCGGGTCGAGAAATTTTTGGACCCGATGGGTTCTTCCCACAAAAGGTTAGTAGTCAATCAGACTCGGATCTAAAAATTTGATCGACTCGATCCACGTCCAAAAATTCTCGGTACCGATAGGCTCTACTGGTACCACCCTAAAACTCATATCGATACTGGACTGATAAGTTATCGTACTATTCCATATCTATGGATAATGATATTTGACATTTCAAAAGAGTTTCATTATATATCCTTTATGAAATATTAAGAGCAAAAAAAAAATTAATAGAATACACCGGTAAAAACCGGTTTCATCTCTGCTTCAATTAAAGATGATGAAAATACGTTAAGAAGTAATTAATACTGATTTCGTAAGAAGTATTGATGGAGTGATAAAATATTTTAGTTTTTCTTTTTACAGTGCCTTGAACAGTCGATTTTATCTGACATTGATTTGATTACAAATGACCTTAGTTGTCAATCACAAAGCGAATTTTTCCTTGTAGGAAATAACATGATGGCATATGTGTTCAGTATTTTGTCGTCTATTAAAATAATTATACATTTCATGGTACATCTTTTCAAAGAAAATTCCTGAATACAGTTAGATACAAAACTTTTGATCATATTCGATATTAAAATATATTTAATGAATTTATAATAAATAGAAAATCTTACTTTATTTGATGTTGAAGTATGATTGAGTGCTTTAAGACCCATTTTAGGTGGTGGTAATTGTTGATTTGATAAAATTGATTGTCTTTTATTTGTTCCATAAAATTGATCATGTGGTGTTTTAAGACAATAATATGTTGATGGTGAATTATTTGTTGTTATAGGTGTATTTATATTTGATGTTGATGCTAAACTTTGTGTACTTCTTGTCATATAACTATTATTTAAAACAAATAATGGTTGTTGTAATGATTGTCGACTAGCTGAATGAACAAGTGATTGTTGTGAAGATGATGATGGTGATGAAGAATTTTTAATAGATTCAATACAAAGATTATTAATAAAATAAAGTGCTTTTGATGAATCTGTTTGTGTTTGATTATGACTATGATTATGATTATTATTATTATTATTATTATCGTCATCTGATAAATCACTTTGAATATTTTCTTCAATTTGTATTATTTGTTTATTAAATATTGGATTTTTGAAAGACAATGGTGTACGAATATTTTCTTTATTTAAATTTTCAACTGTTGTTATTGTTGGTGATGTTGATATTGAATGATAACCTTGTGATGATTCATTTGTTGTACCTGTACCTGTTAATGATAATGATATTTGACTACCATATGGTGATGAACGATTATCATTTGATTGTTTATCTAAACGATTATAATAATGTTCAGATGGTGTTGTTAAATGATGATATATATGATGATGATGATGATGTAAATGAATTTGTGTACCATTTTGTGTTGATGAATAAAATAATTTTATTTTTGTTAATTCATTTAAAACATATTCTAATTCATTTAATGTTCGACGTGTATTAAAATCAATTTGTTCAAATAAATCAGCAAGAGTTGAATGAAGAATTGAATATTCTCGACCTAAATAAAAAATAAAAAATAAAGTAGATTTTATATTTAAATGAATAGACATCCATTGAATTCAAACGTTTGGTCTTGAATGTGATCATTTTCAGTTTATTGATAAAAATAAACAGAAGTAAAAAAAAAAACCTTACACAATAAAAGAGCCCGAGTCTTCTACTACAGATGGAATCGGTTCAGTTCGCAGCAAGATCGTCGATATTTTCTAGGAATATGAGGGGATGAAAATTCTTGTAGGAAGTGCTTTCATTCTCGAAATGACACCCATTGTGACGCGACCTTTCTCACAATATACGATCTGCTGCCGGGATGTTCTTTCTTCGAACCCTCTCCAATCCTATTCACCCCACAATGACATTGTCTGTTTATTTTTATTTCATTTTCTGCTAGAGAAAGACAAATTACTATTTCAAAATCTCGTTTCTGTCCAAAGTTAACATCAAGTTGTAAAAATATTGGCAGAAAGTCGAACATTTACCTATTCAGCAATCCTCATTTCCAGTTAAAGTCTATTGGGCCCAAGAATTTTCGGATCCGAACCCGATGGATCAAAATTTTGGGTTCGATCCTAATTGATTAAGCTTCTATGGGAAGAGCCCAACTGGATCCAATGAATTCTATTCGCAGTACCTCAAGTCAACTTCTGTTTCGGTTCGGTTTAAATTTTGAGGAGCCTGAATCGATCTGATCTCTGTCTTCCATTCGACACTTTCTGAACTGATCGAACAGTGTCTGAATAATAGAGTTCAATGCATGTTGATAAATAAATAATAACGAAAGAAGTTCAAACCTAAATCAATATCACATTTATCATCGTGAAGATTAGTTCTATGTGCATATCGTGGTTCATCATAATCATGATCAATTGTCTGAAGAAAAAACAAAAAAAAGTTTTGATTTTAAATAAATAATCATTTGATTATTCATATTTTTACTTACAGATATCTGAGCTAAAAATCTTCTCATATTTTCCGATTCTTTTCCAACAAAATCATTCATAAATTTCATATAAGATTCTTTTGGACCAAACCTAAATCGACAAAAACAAAAAAAAATTATTTTTTCAAATTCTAAATTCATTTTATTTAATTTTTCTTACTTAGAAAAATTTGCTAATGTTTGTAATGTTTTAGCAATTAATGTTAATTTTCTTGATGATTTTTCATTTGGATATTCTAATTTCAATAAGAAATTGAATTCTTTTATAAATTTCATTTCCTACAAAAAAAAAAAAAAACTTTACCTTGAGTAAGACCAAATAAATTTGGTGATAAAATAGCTGGACAAAGAAAACGAAGAAAAACTGATCCACTAATTAAATTAAACATTGTTTCATCAGATGATGATAATTGTCGAAGTTTCCAAAATATACGTTTTAATTCCCTTTTTTCAAAAAACAAAACAAATTTATTTACAAAAAAAAAAGAAAAAAAAAATTATTTATTCGAAAAATCTTTTACTGAGGAAATAATGAATGTGATTGTTGAATTTCAAACCAAATTTTTTCACATAATAATCTTAATGTTATTTGATTACGTTCTAAATTTTGAAGATTTGATACACGACCTGGATCAACTTCTAAATCTATATCATTCGAATTTTTTGATGATACAATATCTGTTACAAAACGTGTTAATGTTTCACGTAAATA